GTGAGGCTGAGGGATTGAATGCTGTGCTGTAAAATACCGCAAAACACTACAAACAACACATGAAATAAATACATGTTTAAAGTTTGATGGCAGAATGCCTCTTTAATGAAAAAAGGACAAGTATAAGATCACTGCTGACCAGATATTATTTGACTAGTGGACCATTCTCAGCACAGTAATGAGTGTAAACTGTAATAAACTGGTAATACAATGTAACTGTTGTAAAATTAAAATGTAAGCTGTGTAGCTATGAGAGGGCAGAAAAGTCTACAGTACACTGCAAAATGGGAGACCTCCTTTCATTATTTAATTTTCAGTGAAAATGAATAAAAAGTCATTTATTTTTTAGCATCAGGAAAAAACAGAGTATTTAGTGTGTCTACCCTTTGCCTTTACAGCTTCCATTTTTTTCAAGAGACTTTCTTTCATTTTTTCAAAGAAATCTGCCGGGACATCTTTCCACATCTCCGAAATTTCTGGCATTTTCTGTTTCTCACAATCCAAATAATCCCCAAACACATTCGATGATGTTGAGGTCTTCACTCTGGGGTGGACAGTTCATTGTTCTGAAAAAACCAGCAGCTCTTTTGTTTGATTTTGCAAATGTTTTTTTGTCCTTTCCTTTCTTCAGCAAGGGCGTCTTAACAGCTACACATCCTTTTAGACCAGAGTCTTCTCTCACTCTTGAAGACGAAAGCTTTAAGTGCTTTTTATCTTACCAGTTTGGAAACTATTTCACTCATTTTCCTTTTACTTTTCCTTATGCTAGTGGATTATCTGACATCTAATCTCCTCAGAAATATCTACTGACAAATGAATAACGTAATGGTTATTTTGACTGGAAATTGAATAAATGAAAGGTGATCTCTGAAGATACACAATACCGCAAGTCTACATTCGAACGCTTGCAGTTTTTAGGGGGTTTGTTACAGTAACAATGACATGACAAAGAGCTCATACCTGAATCTCCACTCCATAGCCCATGTAGACAGTCACAGTGTAGGTGCAGTCAACATTCGAGTAGTACCAGCTGCTGGGCGGTGGGGTCTCTATGTAGCCCCCTGGCGCTGTGAAATTAGTGCTGCACGGCACTGTGGTAAGCAGAAAAACAGACAGAAAACAGAAGAACACATCAGAAACTGAGACTCTTCCACATTCCCTCCACCCCACTGTGGTCCCACTACCTTCCCATCTTAATTATCTTTGCAGGGTTTCTCATTTTCTGCAGGCACAAAAGAGGCTGTTTTCCTCTCCTGCTGAGTGTGTGTGAGTGTGTGTGTGCACGCAGGCTGTGTGTATGTGAGTGTCAGGGATAGCTCAGGTGTGAGAGAATTTTCTGGTGGCCTTGAGGTCTATCTGCTTCACTGCCCCTTTTATCTGCCTCTCGAGTTAAGAGTTGCTGCTTGTAAGAGAGATTCCCTCTGGAGCTAAAGCTATATGGCCCAGGTCAACAGCACATAACTCCATACACCTGACTATACTACAGCACAGTGAGACATCTCTAAGTCAATATGAGCATAACAAACATGTTTATCAAAGATGTCTATGGCTAAAACTGACAGTAAAATACCATCAATAAAAAGAAAATACCAATGATAATCATAACTGAGCAGACTGGATTCCTCATACTGTAATTCAGTTTGAATATTGTCAACATAATTTGCAAACGCGAGTCAGAATTTGTAGACTTGGATCTTTATCAGTTGTTCAGTCCTTCGGCTGAGAAGCAACTATAAGCAGACAAACGCTTGAGGATCAAACACACAATCACTGCAGATTTAGCAGTTCTGGAAGATCTCAATGCTGAGTATGAATATGAGACACTATTCCATGTCTGGGTGGATTCTTCAGTGGAGGGCAGCCAATAGGCCATCCTGAATGCTTTCCTTTTATTGGCTCCTATCTGCATAATTTATGGCATGTTTCATGCAAATTGTATGCATACTAGGGTACACTGAGGCATGCCATTTACAAATACTGAGAGACTGGAGGACAAGTGTCTGTTTCCACACAGCTGAAGCTGATTCATGTACTGCGCTCAAATCGTAGCTTGTTTCATGAATCAGACAGGGAGTAGAGTAGTTCATATCTAATTACAACTGCTCAAAACTCAATCAGGGCTAGTTTATCTACACTCTTTAAAATAAAGGGTGCAGGTGTGGAGAACTAAGGGCTGGAGTTCAGCAGAGTTTGGTGTCTTTCCTGCTCTAGTACACCAACTAAACCTGGTGATTAACTGATTAGTTGAGGCATGTGTTTGAGCAGGAAGATCAGAAAAATGCACATGAATGCAGCCCTCCTGGACTAAGAGTTCTACACCCCTGCCACAAAAGCACCACTTTTGGTTTACTAAAGAAACCTTGACTGATTTCAGCCGAGGTGTTTAAAAAATCTTCTATTTATAAAATCTTTTGGGTATTCATGTGGTTCTTCTATGGCATCTTCTATGTTTAAAAGTGTAGAGTCCCTTTCTGTAAGGTCATATATGAGTGTATCTGCAAATACAAGCAACTTTAGGTCCTGACTGTGAATTTTTAGGTACGTTTTTACATTTTTAGAATAACGCATAGGCCTAGAGAATGGTTTATTAATGTCATAACAAACTTTCAGATTTAAATTGGTTGCTAAATGTACTGGGTTAATGTAATTATGGTGAAAATACAGTTTATTGATGTCCCACAAATGTGTAAATGTTAAATCAAAAGATTATTAAATAAATACTATTGTTGATCCGTAATTTTTTTTCTCTAAACGTATCTGTCCTACATTTACATGTCCTTAAACTGATCATTCAAACAAATCTACTTTCAACTGCAATGTAAGTGACTCAAGGAGTACACAGACAAAAAGGTTGGGAAACCTAATCTGGGTGTGTCTGCATTTACAGATAAGGAAGCATCATTGTTTCATCTTTAATATATTCTGCATGTCCTCACCATAGCATTTATAACTGCTGTGTTTCAAATTAGACTTAAAAAACACATTCATATATATGTTACATTCATATATGAGAAATAGTCTGCCAAAGTTAATGTAACAGGACATGCTGTTTGCCATTTGTCCTCAAAAACAGTGAAAAAAGTCCTAACCACAGCATGTGTCCATTACAGTAAAGACATTTTCACATTTTTCTAAAAAACTGGACAGCCAGAACTGGCTGTAGTTGCAGAAACACCCAAATATGGACTGGGAAAATTTCACATTTTTGGCACTCAGTTCAAACGAGCAGACATGTCAGAGTTATTGCCTCATAGTCTGCTCCTCTGTCTAATGGACCCTCAGATTTATACACGGTTTCAACACAGGGCCTGAGTGTGAGCGAAGAAGGAATACTGATGTTACTCTGTGTAACTAATTCATGATCATGGGCTGTTTTGACAGAACATACAGGGTGCAACAAACTGGATTTCTGGCAGCAACCTTCTGGCTATGTTGTTGGCATGGCGACACCGTTATGCGAAAGATTTTATCTCTTGAGTATAAATATGTGTAAAATGATATCATAGTTAATTCTCACTTCATAATGTGATTGGCTGAAAAGTATTCCATTAGTGCCAATTTCATCTGATATTGACTGTTACTGTTGTTCAGTAACATAACAATTGTTGCATATAGACCATTTTATGATTCCATTTTCATAGAATTTAAATATACTTTTTGTTAATCAGTTTTTGTGGAATCATTGTTTCAAAAACAAATAATACATATCAATAAAGAACTATGGTGGCACACCAGCTCCATTTTCTCATAGTTTAGCACAACCTTGAGTTTAGTAATGCATAATTCTGCCTCTAATTCAATTTTGTCCATCACTGTATACATCATCATGACCTACACTAACTACACCAATGACAAATGCTCAAAAAGCTGATAGAATATTTTTTTCCCTATAAAATTAGATTTTTACTTAACAAATATTTTAGATAACAATTATTAATGAAGCCCAAAACTTCATGGGAATTTGCTGTTACAAAGTAATGTGCCCTTTATGTTTAGCATAGCTAAAAGCAGATATGTGCATGTGAAATAGCCAGAAAAACAAAAACTTAAAAAAAAAAACACTTTTGTGAGCCAAACACTACAAACTATTTGTGCTGTTTTTATCAGATTCTACCAATGATTTCAAAAATGTTTTTGAAATGTTAATGTGGTTTTTAGTCTTGGGTTTAAAAGTCTCCCCACATTAAACAAGATAGGAATCTTGTCTCGTGTAAAAGGAAATAACTGCCCTGGGGACACGGCCAAGATGGCCGTCAAGCAAACAGACTTCCCCATAAGGACACTGGTGTTACCTGGTGTCTGCATGGTAGTAATAATGGTGGTGGTGATAATAGTGGTTGTGGTGGTCTCGTCATCCGGATCTCTAGACACTGTGGTGGCATCAGTGTCATGTTGTGCCCTGGTCTTTGGTGTTTCCTCTTCTTCTCTTGTTACCAGGGTAGTTACAGCCTGGGGCTCTTGTGCTGTTGCCATGTCGACATGACCCGGCCGCTTTTCAGGGGCCGTGTGGCAGGGTGGTGGCGCAGAAGTGGGCATGACGGTGGTAGTCAGTGACTCTGTGGTCAGAGCTGCAGATGGCTCTTCAAAGCTACTCCTCTGGATCTTCTCTCCACTCAGCTGCATGCTCCCAGCTTGCTGCTGACCAGCAGTGGACGTGACAGGGGGTATAGTAAGAGAGGCTGTGGTGGGGCTGGTGGCAGCTACATCAGAGAATGGTGCTGCATCTTCATGAGGAACCAGCTGAGTTGATGGGCCCATGAAGAGATGAGGCTCCACCCTCAATCTGTCTTCAAATTCCTGCTGACCTTGACGGTGCGAGTCAGGCCGAGGAAAGGCCTTGAACGGAGGGTGGTGGTTGAGGCCAGCAAACGGTGGGGCAGTAGTGACCAGGGGCAATTCTCTGTCCGTGTCCTGGGTGCTGTGGAACGCGTTCTGTATGTTTTCTGCCTCCGGCGAGCCTCCTCTCTGAGTGACCGCCATCTTTCCTTCCATGAAAGAACCTGAAGATACAAAATCACAATAACAGTTGGTGTTACGGATGCACAGCTGCAGTTAAGTCTTTTCAAGCACTGTTCAAACAACCAGCATCCCACAGAGAATATTGCATGCCATTTTCTTTTTTGTGAATGAGCACACCTCTGGATGTAAATTTTGTTTGAGCGTACTGTGTGAGACTGGTATAAACAAGACTACATTTACTATAAGGCTGCCAAACTACGTGCTTTACTGCTCAGCAACAGTGCAACTGCCATGCTAGGGTCAGAGCCTGCAGCATGTTAAGAGAGAAGAGAATTGCTAATGCTGGTGTGAATGGATTTGGATGAAAGGCAAAAATATTGGGTGGCACATACATAGAGGCAAAAATCCCACATGAACTCGCCTTTCAAATCAACCTATTCATGCCCCATCCACAAATTCTTTCGTAGCAACTGTTGTGAGGCTGGACAAGATTTACAGAACATAGCAAAAGCTCTTTCAGCCTAATAATTCCAGCTTAGAATTTGAGTTCTGAGTTTGAATATGAGAAGAAATTTGCTGCAGAGCTGGACTATGTTGCTACAGTAACTCAAAACTAGGCCATTTGGAAATGACCTAGTATTTGCAACCATGCTAGCATTAGCTCGATTACAAAAAACTACACTTGAGTGTGACTTTTACATGTCAGTAGCTGGAAAATATCAGCTAAAACTCAGAAAGACCAGTGACTTAAAACCTTGCTGGACACAATGTCAGTTGTGACATTTCCACAAGAGGTCAGTCTGAAATGTAATTAAAATAAAATCCTGTGGTGATACACTCCCTTACTGGCACCCCCTTGATGACGTTGTTTACCAGAGAATGAAGCTGAGGTAAGGTTAGCCTATTGCATTCTGTGCACTGAAACATGGCGAAATGAAAGTTATACCACCAACACTATATTTCTACAGCTCCTTCCATCCAAAATGCAGGTTTCATTATTAATGTAAAAATATGCTGAAGCCACGAAATAATGGCTTTTAAAAATAAGGCTTTAAACGTAGTCAACAGCAAACCTAGGCAAGTAACGTCACAGCAACTTAGCTCATACGTCCTCGTTCAAATAGTTAATAGCTACGCTCAGATGTCTAGATAAACTTTACCTGATCATTTATGAGTGACAACATGTTTATACTGATCTGACAGTCAATAAAGACGTCATCCATTGTGATAAAACAGAAGTGTGGACCGATAACTGTCTTGTTTGCTAAAAAGTTGCTAAAAGTTCATGATGTCGCTCTGCTTTAAACTGCCTTCAGTAGCGCTGGAAAAGAACTATGAATACATTTTGTAGGATAAAACTCAACTGACAAAGAAACATTTGACTTTATGTAAGCAACGGCCATGACGACAGAGATGATAAAATGTTAGCCTTACACCAACAATGTTCTCTGTTAGCAAAGAGTTTTTATTAATGGCTACTGGAAAGTAACGTTTGGACTACCCTATCACATCATGATAAAATAGGTTTTGCACAATGTAAACATATTGCAAACGTAAACTACGACCAGAATTTTACCCGCAGTTTGCTGGGCAAATGGAATTCCCAGACCCAGTGACCAGCACCAATTCCTAGAAGAAACTGTGATATAAACACTACATATATACATACTTCTATTTATTTCTCGACATTAATAACACACGCTATATGTCTGAGTTGTGTCTGACAGTGTAAAGCTTGACTAACCTCATAACAGTTACTATAAAAGAGCACATTTGTGGGTGGAGCATTGATTTATTACCTAATAAAACTACATATTCATCAGGTGGGCTCTTTTAATAAAGCAATTTGAAAAAGTGGCGGGGAAAACGAATCTCCCCCTCGAGCACCTGGTGAGATGTAATCAGGTGCCCTTCAGGAGGCTGTGGCGCACCAGGGGAAGAGCTGATTCCTCCACAATGCTTCATTTCCACCCTAATAGCTCTCTCTCTCTTTCTCTCTCTCATTCTCCCTCGTCTTACTAATAACAATCTGCTTCAAACAATGGAGCTCATTGTATCAGCAATATGTTCCAGAGAGCACCTCCTTCAGCAGGCAGCGCAAATTGCCATGGCCCGTGCGGGAATCCGAGACACGCTGAGAGAAAAGATAATCTCTCAAACCAAACGAAACTGACGGACTATTTCTCCCCCTCTTCATGCTACGAGGAGTCGAAAGGAGCGGCGTTTCTGCGGGAAGTGATGTGTGGTTTATGAGAGATTGACTCCTCTGCACAGATAAAATCAAATCGACATCCGGAGTGTCAGTCATATCCATGCAAATGACACATGAAGGCCGCCTTAAAGGGGGAAAAGCTCTGTCATCTATTTCCACCACAGGCACCTACAACCTAAAATCTAGTAGGCCATAAAAATACTGGCTCACACAGAAGACGTACAGAGGGTGTGCCTAAAGTAGGGCTTCCACTATTAATTATTTTAGTAATTCTTTATTTTATTTTAGTATTGTGCAAAAGAAGAGTTTTATTCTAAAATGCTGTAGATACATTTGTTATACATGAGTTTTTGAAAAGAATAACAAGTGATGGAAAACACATTTTAATTTCCCTAATAAAAGTGGTATTAATCATAATATAGCATAGAATACAACATATATCAGGAAAAAAAAATTTGCTTCTTAAAAGTGGTCTATAAGGGTAGCAGGGTAAAACTCAAGCACCTCTCAATGTGCAGAGAAACTTCAGATACCTTTGACCTTACTACAGCAACAGCTGCGGACACATAAAAATGTCACTAGCCTTACACAAACAATGTTTTCATAGCAAGCATTTATTGTGGGCTGTTGGCAGCGTTGAGAGGGTTACTTTAAACCATTTTCTGGTACAGATTACTGATCATCTGTTTAAAAATGTAACCTAATCCAAAACATTACTATATTAAAGTAATGTAATCTGATTACTTTATGTTACTTTTGGATTTCTTGACTTTTTAAAGTTGAATAATTAAATAAAGACAAAAAAATAATTTCAAAAAATCTTTTTTCAACAGCCGTTTAAGGCAAATGGGAAAACGGCACTGTTTCATTAAACAGACTGACAGATTATAGGTGACAAATATTGGGCTTCAACATATTTTATTGTGTTACAAATAAAGCTAATTGACACATATTAATGTTGTGCACCCACCATTCCAAAACTACTAAAGGAATAAGTCATTTATGCAAAAATGAACCAACGTTACTGCTCATGAGACTTTGCTTTCTTTTCTAGTTTTGAAACTGTTAGTTGATGTTAGCTCACTTCAGTGTCAAAATTTGGCTTGTTAATATTCGCAAGGTAGATTAAGCTGGTAAAAATGTAAGATTTTAGCTATAAACGAGAGTAAGAGAGTTTACTTCCTCATCTTTTGTTGCTGTGTAATGTGATAGTTTTAGAAAATCAGAGTAAATGCCTGATTCAAATATATTCAGGAAAATGCTGCAGATCTTGGTTCTATCAGTAAAAATAAAATACTTAGTATTACTTCCATAAACTAGCTGAATTTGAAAAGCCCACTTCCAACTATGTAAATCACAAAAAAAGACAATTCTTGAAAGTGTGTTTTGGAATGATACATGGCAAAATATTTTGCTGGTTAATTGAGTAATCAGATTAGATTAATCAACTTCTAAAAAGCCCCAAAAATTTAAATGGACATATAAATGGACATATAAATGAGTCTGTCCATCAGGCTCTGCTTCTCATCGTAAAGTCTGTTGTGAACTGTGTAACAGCAGCAGTAGTGAACACTGACTATCACAGCTAGATCTTCGGTTCAGGCCATAAATATCAGACTTTATCCCCAACAATGCTAATTTCTGCTGGCACCCCTATTGGATTCTAGTGGTATGTTAGCATTAAGCTAACAGCGATTCACATAAAGATTTCTTGCTTGTTCTAAGTTAAACACCGACATCTGAAGTTCACAAAAGCAGTTTTACAGTGATTCCTTCAGTAAAGGGCCCAAACATAGAGCTGCCGCTGTTTCCACTTCTAACAACTAACTGAAACTATGTCAGGCTACCATTATCATTACAAACTGCCACCGAATCACTGACAATTAATGGAGAATGTATATTTTAACCGATTATTTAATTGAGTAATTGAGTTTGAGTAATTGTGACAGCCCTAACCTTCAATATATTATCTAAAACACGACTTTATCTTTTCCTTTTTTTCACTTTTTATTACCTGCTGTTCACAGATGGCCTAAAGAAAATTGAAAAACTAAAGACTTCACATTTTTTAGCAGTAGCAAATTGGCAAAAACAATAATTACTGCTGTTATAAATGTAACTTGTGCTCCAGGTAGGGTAATTTTATTACTGGTCTTCTTCAGTCTTTGGTGTTGCCGCAAGCAAATGTTTCACACTCCTTTCGCTAAAGAGTCAGAGCATCTTTTTCATGGTACATCTGTTTTACTGATGGGTGTATATTGAGTAGTTTGACATTGATTTTTTTTTTTACAAGTCATTTACCTCTAAAAACCAACGTGATTTAAGAGACGGCACAGTTCAGTGGTACAACTCACTCTGTTGGACAGCACACTCAACAGGACATTTCTGTGATTAGTCACTAGAAGTCATTTTGGTTGCCCTTGATTTTTGATGCACTGAACAGACCACTAAATATAATGTGTAATTGTAGGACTATTGTAATTAGCTAATTGCAGAGGCCAAAGTGTAGGTGATGATTAAAATGGGACTAACTGTGTTGCACTATTGACGTATTAGTCCCACTGCAAATGGACGAATTACATAGGCTATCACCGGATACTATTCAGAACTACTACCACAGGTCCATATAGAGCTTTGAGAACTAAAGCTTAAGAAAAGAGTGGGTGTCTCTGAGAGCTTCTGTGAAATTCTTTTGTAAGAAAGGTCACTGTGACATTCTCTTGTCATCATATACTGAAAACTGAACTCAGTGTGTCTCACATAGCCATACTACACAGAGTTCAAGATCCCTCAAACCTGCAGGCAAAAGACCGCAACAGATCCAGCATG